TATTATTATTATTATTTTTGCGGAACCGGGGATTGAACTCAGATCCTTGCGTTTGCCAGTCAAGCGCTTATCCTACTGAGCCATCTCCCCGGCCCCAAAACCTGAGAATTATTTTTAAAATGACATTATTTATTGAAAGCAATATACCAATAAAAGCTATGATCACATGCAATTTCTATTACTTCCTTCCTATTTGTACCCAGGGAGAGATTTACTGACCCACACTTGGACTTTGGGGTTTTCTCCAGGTAGCACAGGCTCCAAAACCATGAGTCTTGATGGTTATGTAATGTTCCTTTCGGTTACGTGTCCTGCTTTTCTTAGCTGCCCTGCTGCTGTACAGTTAGGTTCCTTCTTGCTTGGTTCTAATTTTAGATTACTCTGCTTGCAATGGATACCTGCATTTGGCTTTTTCCCCTTTCCTTGTTTGTTTCTTCCATCACAGGTAAATTCCCAGAAGTGGGTTTTTAGGTCACAGCTTCCAATTAGTGTGTCACCCAATTGTTTTATACAAGGTTTGTACTGATTCATGACATCCCCGGTGGGGTGTGAACAGGAAGCAGAATAAAGCATCTGACCAAGGGTCAGTTTTTCATAGATGATTAAAGTTAATCTTTGCAACAGACCCAGGAAGCAGGTATCATTTTCTCCTTTCCACAGACAAAAGGAAAGCCAGGAAACTGGGTAAGCTGTCCAAAGTCACAAAAAGGTGGCAGAGCCATCAAAGCCCTCTACCCTGCCCAGACAGCTGAACCTACCACTTTCCTGCTTTCTCCACACCTTTTCAGGAGAAGCTTCTTGTTAAGCTTGTTTTCATTAATTTAATGGATGTAAAATGATAAGCCAACCTTGCTTCAATTTGCATTTTATTCCACAATTTATTCATCATTTTTAAAAAAATTAACTTTATGGTACAATTTAGATACACATAATGATCATACTCATCATAGCAAATTTGCACCTGTACATGCTATATCTTGATTCCTCTTTTTCTCCATTCCTCTGCCCTCCCCCCATCTTTCTTCCCCTCTTATTTACAAAGGTTTGCTTCCATTTTACACTTTTTCTTGTCCTTTCCTTCCTCCCCTCCTTCCGCTTCTCATTTGATCAATTTCTTCCTAGTTCACAATACCCATTATAGCTTTTGGTTCTTATTTGCACTTTCTAAGAGACACTGTGTCTGATTTATTTTATTTAAGAGTATGGTCTATTATTTTCCTTTCACAAGCAGGGAAAGCTAGAGGCTCACACAAGCACCTACGTGTCACATTCTCAATCCTGCTTCCTGCCCTCTTTCCCTGAAAGCCTAACAGTTCTTTCTCACTTTAAGATCTTAAATGATCCAGGAATGGAGGCTCACACGTGTGATCCCAGAACTTTCAGAAGCTGAGGCAGGAAGAGTCAAAAGTTCAAACCTCGGCCTGGGCAATTTAGAGAAGCTCTGTCTCAGAACACAAATAAAAAGGGCTGGGGATGTAGCTCAGTGTAAAGGAACGGGGTTCAACTTCCATTACCACCAAAATCAATCATAGTGTTTATGTAAATAAAATTGTTCCTTTCCTTGGTGATTTTTCCCTTTTTGAAGCCTGGAGTCATTAATTTCTCCACATGCCTGTCATTCTTAATCAGTTTTTTTGTTCCTACTTTTCAGGTAATTAAATTTATACAAATCTTTAATCCTATTCCACCTGGAGGTTTTTTGTTTTTTGTTTTTGTTTTTTTTAAGGAACATGGAAACATCAAACGTTCAGCCCAGGGGTATTTGCTTAGTAAACCATGGCATGCTAACTACAAGACAGTCCCGCAGCCATGGGGATAATCACCATTGGGAGCGAAATTGTACTGCGTTTTGCTTGAGGTTGAAAACCAGAAAGCAGTGCTTTTGCCATGGTGAGGAAGAATGTGATGGAGATGGAATTGCGCAGTGGAATTATTTTCTCTACCGCTACAGTAGAGAAAAAAGGGAAAAATCAGAAGGGCAGTAAAAATCAATCCACCTCTGGCAGTTTGATGGACCCCCACTGTTCAAGTGGGGGAGCCCCGGCTCCCCACCTCTGCAACCCTTGAAAACCGAGTGCGCTCCCAGAGTGTAGGGCAGATGTGGCTAGCTCAGCGGGGAGGCCCGAGGTCATGGCTGGGATGCGACCGAGAGCATAAGGCTAGGCCGCAGATTCCCCTCCCGGCAGCTGGGCGACCCCCGCCTAGCGAGCTGGAGAGCCGGGCTACCGACAGCCCGTCCCGGGGGGCCAGAGGCTCCGGGGGATGCGGGCGGGGCGGCCTCCCGAGGGTGCTCGGCGGCGGCGGCGGCGGCGGGCGCTTCGGCCCGGGGAGTCGCCCGGCCTGGCCCAGGGGATCTGGCCGGAGCGCGCGCTCCGAGAGCGGCGGGCAGCCGGACCCCTCCCGGGCTTCCCGCGAGCGTCCCAGCGCCGCGCGGCATCTGGGCTCCCCCTGGGGCTGCCCAGACCCCGACCCCGAAGGTGGGAGCGATCACACACCCCGGGACCCCAACGCCCCCAGGAGGCCATCCCGGTCCCCATCCGCGGCTCTCCTAACCAGAAAGGCAGCCCGTGCAGCATCACCCGAGGACCAGCCGGGCGCCCGGCAGGGCCTGCGACGCACCACACGCGCCAGCCGAGTCACCCCGCGGCCCCGGGGACCCCAGCCCGCCGCGCCCTCGCGCCTCGGCCCGGCTCTCCCGCCGCACCCGGTTCTCACCTCCGGCCCGTGCGGGCGGTTACCTGCTCCCGGCAGAGGCGAGCCCGCAGCCGCGGCGGTCTGTCGGTGACTGGCACAGGGCGAGAGCCGGGCGGGACGCGCAGGGCGCAGAGCGGCGGGCGGGGCGGGGCGGGGCGGGGACCAATGAGGGCGCGGGGACCAGCGCCCGCCCGCGCCCGCCGCGCGGCTCACCTTAAAGGGTGGCGGCTGCAGAGCAGGCCCGAATGAGTCACCCCCTCCCCCAAAAGAGTTGCGATTCACTTAAACACTTGCACCGGTCCGCGCCGCCTCTGGTGTCGCCGCCCCGTGACGTTGCTCATGTGCTATAAAAACCATCTTTCATGGGCGAGGTTGGTCCAGAGCCGTTACATAAGGGAGAATGTGAGAAAACGAAAGATGAGGTGTGGAATGAGAGAGCAATCTCTGGAGCTTGGGTTACCAGAAATTTCTAAAGAGGAAGATTGAGCTCCTCTAGGTTGAGCCCCGTGTTTGGGAATTTTCGCACAGAACTGGAGGCCTGGAAAGAACCGTGGCCACCGTTTGTTCGTTTTCCCCATCTCTTCACTTTCTGCTCCTTATAATATGCAAAGGATTTTGCTGAATTCAAGCACCTATAGTATTTAGATGCCAATGGAATACCCACCTCTAACAGGACTAAATAAAAAGAAGGGGATACAAAGGAAAGAACATTTTGCATTTGTGTATTTAAAATAGGATAGATACACAGCTACTTTCGCTTAATTCAATGAGAAGAAAGATTTGTACTAATAGTGTTTGGACAGGATAGCCTGTCTGCTTCTTGTACTATGGAGAACCACTAAGCAGATAACAATGTACAGTGTATTGATTATTGAAACTGTCCTATTAATCAGTTTTGAAACCGTCTCATTCATATTTGTTTCTCAATAAAATAAAATTAAAAAATATCCAAACGAGAAGGTTTAGATTATAATTCAGACGACCAAGAGGAAAAGGTGCCACACTGGACCTGAGAGAGAACTGGGTTCTTGCTCATGACTCCTGCTGGGATGCTTAGCACAGGTGCCTGGTTGTCGGAGAGCAGGACTGAGAGTTAGGGCTATGTAGGGCATAAACCCGGACAGTCTTGGGGAAAAGGGGAAAGTGGTGACAAGCACCAGCCAGGATGACAGACTGCTGCAGACTGCTGGAAACAGTACTTTCCTCTTTTCTTGCAGGCTGACCTGGGTGTTAGAAGCTGAACAACCAGAGGCCTTTGGATGAGGTCGGAGTGTGTGTGAACAGGTGAGGTGGGCAAAGGGCTTGCTTTTCCCTGGCAGAGGAAGCTTGGTAAAGCCTGTTTTTTTTTGGTTTTTTTTTTGTACTGGGAATTGAACTCGGGACCTTGGGCTTGCCAGGCATGTGCTTATTCTACTGAGCTATCTCCCCAGTGTGGTAAAGCCTGGTTGGGAGACACTGAAACCTAGCTTTTTCTTCCAATCCCATATCTACTGACTGACTGTTCTCACCTGCACACAGCTCAAAAGGCAAAGGATTTCTTGCAGGGGCAGAAGGGGGTGGCAAATGGGATCAGCTGCCTTGGATACCATTCTGGTTACTTTGCTATGTGCTAGATAGCAGCTAGCCCAGAGCTTAGTGGTTTAAATCAATCACTATTTTACTGGTTTGTGGGTACGGAGTCTGGAAGGCACAGCAGAACTTGTTTCTGGTTGAGATGGCTTGGGTCTCAGCTGTGTAGACTCAGAGTCAGAGGGAGCTTGGGATGGGAGGCTGGAGGCTGGGTGTGCTGAGCCTGTTCTGTACCTGGCTTCCCTGTAGGTTCTGGCCTCCTGGCAGCATTGCAGGCTGGGCTTAGACTGATACTGACCAGTCATCTATCCACTCAAAATCAAGGGGAGGGACTCAAATTCCCTCTCCTCTCAATGGGAAGAGAACTGAAGGTCCTGTGGCTACTTAAAAACTGCCACGGTAAGATCGGTGGTTGTAGATTCTTAGTTTTTGTTGATCTCATGAATACAGTATATTTCTTTTCTTTCTTTCTTTCTTTCTTTCTTTCTTTCTTTCTTTCTTTTTTTTTTTTTTTTTTTGCGGAACCGGGGATTGAACTCAGGTCCCTGCGCTTGGCAGAGAAGCACTTATTCCACTGAGCCATCTCCCTGGCCCCTATAGTATATTTCTGAAAATAAGACCTCACCAAAAAATAAGCATTGCATGACTAATATAAGCCCTACCCCCCCAGATAAGCCCCAGTGAAGATTGTCAGCCAGATGGACAAATTTAGTATGTCTGTTGTAACACATGACAGATGTATTGAATCATAAAATAATATTAATATATAAATATAAATGAATAATATTGACATTAATACTTAAAAAAAGGCTAATGTAAATTATAATTAAGTCTTTGGAAATACTTATGTGGATGCCTTGTGATGAGAGGAAAATAGATGAACATGAATGGACTTATTGCTGAATGACAAGCTGGAGCCCAGAGACAACACATAAAGAAGGTGTGCACTTGACAACTGAAGGCCATCACTGAGTCTAATAGGAGTCTTCATGACTCAATGCATGGTGTGCTGCAATAGATGCACATAACGCACTGCTGTAAAATCAACATTTCTGAACTTTGGTGCCTGTAAGTTTTTTTTTTTTTTTTTTTTTTTTTTTTTTTTTCCTGGAACTGGGGATTGAACTCAGGCCCTTGCGCTTGTCAGGGAAGTACTTATTCCACCTAAGCTATCTCCCTGGCCCCTGCCTGTAAGTTTTGGTCACTTTTGTGTGGACTGTCTTTTTTTTTTTTTTTTTTGTGTGTGT